AAAGGGGGCGCAGAGAGGAGGGAGGAAATCGTTATCTTTCTGTTGTATCATCTGCAAACACACTGAACAGAACAAGATCTAGCACTGAATCTTGTGGTAGGTACACTGCTTGTGACTGGTCTCTGTTTAAACAGTGTCCCATTAACAATCACATACTGGAATCTATCCCTAAACAACTTCCTATGCACTGAACCACCACACAAGAAAGAAAAATTATAATGAAATGCTGTATTAGAGACAATGGAAGAAGATAGTAGATGAGCTTATATAGCAGCAAGATTTCACATTCTATTATACATATATTTATGTATGCTTAAATCTTGGCAGATTTCCAAAAGTCCAACAAAAAACAGAACTCCACTACTCTTGCAGATGTATTATGATCCATCTATTCTCCTGAGAAGATACTCTACAAATGTTCACCTAGATTGCTAAAGACAGCTTTGAATCCAGAGAGAATTATAGAAAGCACCATTCTCCCATTCAATTTTGTAGCAAGCTGCATTAAAGCAAAAAATTGACACTTAAAAAAAATCACTTTCCAAAACCGATTCAATATGCAATGACTAATTGTGCAATAATTATTTTGAGGGACAGTGAATAATATTAGTATTTTTAAAATTTAAGATTTCAGAGATGAATGACAAAGAATATGAATATAACAAGGATATTTAAGAACTTCAGTCTGCAAAATACAACAACGTCTAAGTGAATACTGTAAGCATTTTAACTTATATATAAACTTTACGACCCCTTGAACTTTGAATCTTGTTTCATTATCTTCCAGTATAACTTTGGACAATATTCAAGTTTAAAGAAACAAGGGATGGTATTACAAAGTCTTAAAGAACAAAAGGAAACACAAAAAAAACCCCAAAAAGTCAAAATTAACTTCCTGTTATATTTATATTCTGCATTATCTTCAAAGAGTCTGGAGGTTTACAGATAAGTTCCAGCTGATCTCTAATTGCTTTTTGTTTCTTCAAATTATGTACCTTATTATGGTTTTAAATTACTGCTTCTGTTCCTAGTTCTTATCTCTTTCAATATGTTTAGTTTCATCTGCAGTACAAATAGAAATCCTGATCCCATAGAATTATAATTTCCATTTTCAAAACTCAGCCTGAATGTGGCAGTGAATTTTATCAACAGACAAAACATATTTTTAAAAAGAATTTATTACTTATGCTCCTGAATATTTAAGATAGCTCTTTAAAAAAATTTCTTAACTCATCTTAAGAAAGATGGTATTTGAGCTACAATTATTTTATTTTCCAAGAATCCTCTTAAATTATACCACAGAAATATTCTTCAAAGATTATGCTCGATTGATGTTTTTACATCATACTATTTTATATTTTACAGAAACACAGGTATATGTGCACCTACTAGACTGGACATGGGATCTTAGAAATAAAATAGGATATCAAAATGTGAATTGGTCAATAGTTTGGGGTGATTTTATTCTAGAAATATAGCTACAGACATGACAGGTGAAAAATACGTGCATTTTTTTAAAAAAACCTATATATTTTCAAAAGGTAGGTATAATAAAATAAATATTACAGATTTTTCAAAATAGAATTTATATGTAGTAATTTTAACTTCTGTGACAAATGTCTCCTGGAAACCTATAGCTTTCCAGAAATAGTCAAGGAATTTTAAAATTGCATTTATCCATTTCTTTTCTTATCATGCTCAGTCTTGCCATACATAATGCTTATCTAGCCATTGTTTCACACATGACAGACCCAAAGAGTGTGAGTTTCAGCTTTCTGATAATCAGGTAATCTGTCTTTTATTTGTTCAGGACAGATTGAGAGATTCTTTTTGTAGTTCATAGTACTCCTTAGATAAGTCTGAATTATGGTTCCAGAGGTACTGGTAGCTACTGTCTTTCTTTTGTCTCTCATTCTTTCTCATTTTCCATTTTTCAAGGGAAAAACTACTGCTTTATGATTCTGATTTTTATCATACACTTTTCTTTATTGTTTATGTTCCTAAGTTTACTACTGCTTTCCTGTAAGATTAATCTTCCAGTGTCTGTTATATTTTGCAGAGTTCAAGAAAACAAAATACTTTGCCAAATTTGTTATCAACTATAAATCCATCAAAAACGTTAAATGTTTATTTTCCATTTTACTTGCATAAAGTCCTGTAAATCTTCTTTATTTGGAATAGAAATGTGACATTTTTGTATATTTCAATAGTTTAGTATTTCAGCCTCCAAATTTGATTTTTGCTGTCATCTCTTCCAATCTTGCCATTCTGCCATAATATAATCACTCTGAAAATTAAACAGAGATGTATTCTCATATTTTCCTAATTTGTATTATTCTCCAAACTATGTTCTTATGGTCCTGTCATGTTCATTTGTATAAGTTTCTCAAATAATAAAGTTACTCTGGCACCTCATTAGCTTTAATGCATGCCACATGCTGGGATCACCTACAAATAAAGACCACTGTCAAGAAAGCAAAGGTACACTTCTTCTCTTGCTCTATTAACAACTTATTTTCCCATCTGATCTGTTTCTGTGACCCACTGATTTTTTTCCCCAAAGCTCCTTTCATTTCACTTTTCCTCTCTCCAGGTATGGCTTTATTCTTTTGTGTAAAATCTTAAGCAAAATGTCACTATTGGCACAATAGTTCAGTAACTTGTGTATTATCTTCTTCAGTCTGGATAAATACATTATATTTCCCAATATTGTGGCCAAATATTCATATTCCATATTTGTTGATATAATATTGTTAGTCAGTTAGCTACCTGTTTGCCTGCAATTTTATAACAACCAGTTAGTATTTCATATAAACATGGGATCACAATCTATTACCCCTCATAGATCATTTTTCTATGGTAGTGCGGTCAGTTCCTGAATAAATTATCTCTACAAATGACTGCCATTTTGCAAGCTTGATTCTTTAAAGGCTCCAAAGTCTTTCCATTTTCCTTTAACTTCATTTGTCTCTATCTTTACTAATTCTTGAACAGTCCTATTTCCCTATAAATATTCTAGAGATTTATTTTCCTAAAACATTTTTCTCATTTTTATTTTCTCGTTATTTTCCTGAACCTATTGATGCTTTTAAGTGAAGTATCTGGGCACATCATCACCGCCATGTAGATTTGAAAAAATTATGTCCACTTTTCCAGTAACCAGAGGAATGTCTCCTGGCAGGGTTCCCAACATTGGAGAACCAAACTTATATGTTATTGCTATGCAAATACAGTTTTCTTGGCAGCATTATAGGAGTTTATAAGAAGTTATATTTAGATTATCTATAATCTGTGGGAAAGCTGTTTAGCAACATTACAGATGTCATCAGTTTAAGAATTCACTCCCAGGCTGCTTACACCAAATGCTCTCAACCATAAAACACTATACTTTGGCCTCTTCAAACCTGAATCTTCTCTTGTTTCCTGCCCAGCAAAGGCATTCTAATAGCCACATTGTTTCACTTGGAAAATTCAGATATCACTTTCTCTTCAAGAATGAAGAGGGGTTGAAAAGCAGTCACTGTTTCCAAAGACCATAGCAACTGACAATAACAAGTCAATTTAGTCACTTGTAGCATAGGGCAAAAAACTTTAGATACAATTCTGTACTGTTGAAATTACACAATTTATTTCTAAATAAATTTAAGATTGCACTGAATTAATCAAGGCATGCTTTTCAGCAAGGAACAGAAGATTGCCCAGTGTGTTTGAAATTCAGTGGAAATGGACTATGATGGCAACATAGGCCTCTTTAGTATTTAGCCTTAAAACATTAACACGCCATTTTAAAGTATGTTTAATATAGGCACAAAACATGGTTATTTATGGTATTTGTGGCAGGGGAGGAGTTGTAGAGTAAAAGCCAACTTTTCCTTTGTTTTCAGAAGCTGGCACTCTTGTCAGTCACCAAAAATAATGAGGTAGTCTACATTACTATTACTTACATTATACCAATTTCAAGCTAACCATTTAATCTCATTTTATAAAGAATCATCACCTACATATTCATTAATATATTAAACAGCTAGCTTTCAGGGCGCATATCAAGTTAAATGTGGAAGATGCATGTTAGCAAGATGTTATTATTGCCTGTAACCTTTTGTACTAAGCATTTTTACTCAGTGAAATTAAAGAAAGAACACTTACTTATATGTACTCCTGTTGCCAAAATTTGAAGATGAGAGTTATATTAATATTTTTTCCTGAAGCTAGTTTATTTACCTTTATTTGCATTTACCTCATCTTATCCCTGTTTCATACAAACCTACTTTCCTCCTGGACTGAGGACGAAATCTTACAGAGCTCCAAAGTAGCTATTGATTCTTTCTCCTTCTGCATAGCTGTCTTTTGTGTTCTCAGAGAGCAGACAAAATAAAGCTTAAAGAAATACCAATGTCATTCTTAGACATTAGAGAGAAATTCTTCAAGACTATTATCTCTAGGCTAGGATTTATTATTTAACCATCATAAGAAACTTTTGTACTTTATTTTATTGCAAGTCTTGTTGTTTATATAAACAAAAAAGCAGGGCATAAATTTAAAAATAGCTATAAATATCTGCCTTAAAAACAGACAAGTCGAGACATGTACTTGTAATCTCCCTTACTCTTTGTAGACTTAACATTTGTCGTTTCACAGCATTTTACTTCTGTCGGTTGTGGCATACCATCACCACTCTCCCAGGGACCATTAGAATTAGGAAGAAAAGATAGTCGAGCAGGGAGAAGACAGTTATGCAGGAGAACGTCAGAGGTCCGTCCAAAAACAAAACGAGAGGAAATAAGAGATTTCCCTCTCCGATTTTAATTTCCCTAAGACAGCGTCAGAAGGAGAACGAGAAGTGCCCAAAGTTAGCGCCTCGTGGTCAGCTCACGAGGCTGCAAAACTTGGGACTTAGAACTCCAGGATACAAAAGACAAGCGACTCTGTCCCATCCTGGAGACACATCCCCAGATCCGTTCGCCCGCTTAAAAGTGCACCGTTACCCCCATTTCTCTCACCTTTACAAACAGGCGAACTAGGGCTCTTTCTCTCCGGAGAGGCCCTGTTTTGCTCCGGCGAATGCCGTCGCTGGCGATGCCGGATTTTTCCTCCCGTTGAGACGGCGGCGGCACAGGCACTGCCTTCAGGCACCGGTGGCGAAACCGGGGACGAGCAAGGCGAGGGCGTCGAACCGGGTAGGGGCGGCGCCGGCAGGCGAGGGGGGCTGCTACGCGCCCCTCCCCCGCCCGTAGGGCTGCCGCGCGCGGAGCCGGAGGAAGAGGACAAGGAAGGTGTCCCTGTGGCGGAGACGCCCGCCCCGAGAAGCGTCTGCGTGCCCACGGCCGGACTACTGCTGCTGCTACTACTACTGCTGCTGCTGAGATTGGTGTTGCCCCCGCGCGCGCCAGCGTTGCTGCCGCTACCAAGCACCGATCGCGTGGGGCTGGTGGCACGCGCGGAAGGCAAGGGAGGCGGCGGCGGCGGCGGCGACGGTTGGAGTGGGGCGTTTGCTGCTACCGCC